GCCACACTTGTCTTTCTATAAGGACTTTGTTTACCTTGAATATTTAAGAATTTATCTTTAAAAGTTTTCCACATCTGATCACTGTCTCCAAATAACTCAGCTGCCCATTTCACAACAGATAATTTTTTTCACATCCCTTCAGAATTTGTTTTTTTTTTAAATTTGTAACCAAAATATCATTATAACATTGAACCTAATAAAGCAATGATCACTTGCACCCAGATATTTCCAAGTTTCCGCCCTCTCAATCATTTCTGTATTTGAAGTTAACAATAAGTCTAAAATAGCATTGTTTCTAGTTGGTTCCTTGACTAACTGGTGAAGAAAGCCATCCTGAAAATTTTCCAAAACCTTTCTCCCTCATGGTTTGATTCTAGAATTTCCCAATCTATATGCCTGAAGTAAAATCACTCATAATTATGACTTCATTAAAAGTTGAAATCTTAAGCTCACTGTAAAGTTTCTCACTAATTTCATCAGTATCATCTGATGGTCTGTAACACATTCCAACTAAAAGACTCTACACTATATATCCGCTAATAGAAACCCAAGCGTGATACTTAAATTGTAGAGACAACACTGGCTTCGTATTATGCAATAAAATTGAGTAGACTGAAGCAATGAATTTTCTATCAGAAAATAGCGAGAGGGATTTATCTCATTAGACTGTGAGTTTTACATATCAGTGGATAGATAGCGCTACGGACGCTTCTCTGATTCGTTACCGAAAGATAATGTTGGCAAGTCATTACTTGAAAGGCGATGATAATGAATGGAGGGCATCTGCCTAGAAAGTTCTGGAAGACGTTACGAGCTGCTAGCACAGATCTTCATAAGGAGAAGATGATAAAGATCTGCAAATGGCGTCCGAAACTTCCTCGACAGATAGCCTCCATTAACAGATCGTTTTAAATATATTCATAGGACTAAACTTTCTTTCAAGCATCATGAATTATTATTATTAATAAACTTTTTTATTCATTGTGTCCTTAGTATTGCAACAAAGATTCACACGTTTTTGTCTCTGAAGAAAATGATACCACAAAATTATATAGTTAATATAGTTGATAACATATATTGGTAATTCTTTAAAAAAAATTACTCTTAAGCCTAAATCGAGCTTGCACAGTTAAAGTGGTTGATACTTTATGAACAATTGGTTGTGATAGGCATCAAAACAAAATATCGACCATGCAGACACCTACAGCCACTGAGAATTACACTCTTGATTAGCATGCAGAAAGAACTCTGGTGGCAGAAATGTGCACGATACAGAAGTGCTGAGTGCACGTGTCATGAATGTGCAGCATGCATAAACTGTTGTTTACTATTCATTTTTAAAGGCTTACTTTAATTCTAAATATACTTACCTTTATTATCAAGATACATTTCTACCATAGAACAATCAACTATTTATTTATTTTTAAATACAGTTTAAATTGACATCTCGTGAGTTAATTTCTAGATTTTTTTTTTGTGAGTCTTCATTCCGTGATCCGTAACGTTCGCACCTGGTAAACTACTTGACGTTGACAATGGAGGTAACGGCAACGCTAAAAACGTCGGATTGTTAAGTTCTTTCTGAAGTAAGCTGCATAACCCTTGTGATGCAGTGGCTCCATCTGCTGTAAATACTTCTGAAACAACATGCAGGCTAAATGACAGTTCAAACTTCAAAGCAATACTTTTCTCGGGTAAACTTGGGCGATACAACACAGACATGCGAGAAAGAGTCACACAACTTTACACACAACTTTTTATGCTCCACACATAACTCATGCAACAACAGATAACACAAAGTTAACTTATCTAACACTTTGTTTTATGGATTTGTAAACCTTTTCTGATTCATTTCTAGCAACAAACTTACGAGAACAAAGAAGAAAAGATTATTGAAGAGTTATATAATTGAAAGGAACATTTAAGATTTTTAATTTTTCTACAAGTATATCAAAACAGAAGCATTCTGACTGACATCTGTTTAAAAAAACTGTCTTTCAAACAGGAAAGATAATATTCTAACGATGGCATGAAACAGTATAAAACACGATATACACAAATTACTTTAAACAAAGTACTTCTTGCTTTCTCTGATTGTTTCTAGAACCTATTTAACAAAATGTTATCCTTTCACTCAAATGACTGAACAACCAGGAAAGATGACTATTTACTTATTGGGTAACACTTTCTCCCCAACCTGAACACATCTGGTAACTGACACGTGAGTTAAAGCGTGAAAATTAATAACATCTTTTAAAACAACGCTGGGGTCAAATACTTTTATATTTCACACACTTTATTTGAATTAAAGAGCTGGAAAGATAAATGTATTAATTCTATGTTAAAATAAAGTGAAAACTTTCATTATTGACTGCTTATCTCATGTTTATTGAAATAATAAAGTATTACAGTAAAGAGAACGTCCTGACAATGCTGATCGATCCTTCATATTTGCCGAGGCTTAACTTTAAATGAATATCTTCAGTATATTTCACACACAGGCGTTTTACACGCGACAAATTGCATAAAGAATCACACACACTGCACTTCACTGCGCAGAGTTTATCACTGCACTCTAACGAACTATCGTCTATGAAATACTATTTCTGGTTTACTGTTATCAACGATGTTAATAAAGTAAGTCAAATAATTTTAAATATGAGAAACGTACACTTTTAAAGATAGTAATTACGTTCAACGTCTTGTATATTAGAATCCAGTTTTAAGATCATATATTTAAAAAAAATATTTTAAACTTAAAGTCTGTGGATTTACTTTGACTTTAAGGCTCATTTTGCCTTGCTTTATTTGAAAAATAAAATTGAAAATTAAGCTTCAAAATGTTAAGAACAAAAAACAATTTGATTCTGCTGAGAATGCATCAGTTTTAAACACTGCTGCGCTAAGGCCAGACTTCTGCAAACTGTACATAGCAATCTATGGTTGGAATGTATTTGGAGAAACTTAAACCTTTTACTGACAGAAAATGAAATACAACTTTATTGCTTACCGTCAGAGTTTCTTTTGGCCACGTCAATCTCTTTGGAGACATTGTCTTCATTGGTGTTGGTTCTTCCGCCGGTAGATTCAGAGGGGCATTCCCCAAACCTGCTTTTTGGAGAAGGAGAGTAGCCATAAGTGGCGCTTGGAGGCTTATGACGTCTAATGGTTGAGAGGCGGGTTACAAATGACGTGTTGTGCTTGAATCTGTAACCAACATATCTGTGAACGTGACCATGTAACTTATAACAGCAGTGTATTTAATAAGACATTACGATGTTATTCAACATTAAAAAATTACTTTAAAACTTACACAGAGCAGATTATAAACCCTCATCATCATTCAAAACTTACACAGAGCAGATTATAAACCCTCACCATCATTTAAAACTTACACAGAGCAGATTATAAACCCTCACCATCAAGTGGGAAGAAGTCTCCTTCAGAATTTTATCTCATATTTAAGTGGGATCAAAACGTTTTCCTGTGTCATGAGGATGTCCTCTATCCTTTTCAGAATTCCTTTACTTGTTTCTTGTTCCTTGTTTCTTTAACAACTGTTTTCGAAGAGATTCTTGTTTTGTACTGAAGCAGAAAGTGGGCCTATATCACACGTGGTCTTCTTAAGGATATTATACGTGTTCTTGTAAGTGATGTTTATGTGATACTACGAAGTGTTCTTGCCTTGTTTTGTACTGAAGCGGAAAGTGGGCCTATATCACACGTGGTCTTCTTAAGGATATTATACGTGTTCTTGTAAGTGATGTTTATGTGATACTACGAAGTGTTCTTGTCTTGTTTGGAACTGAAGCAGAAAGTGAGCCTATATCACACGTGGTCTTCTTAAGCATATTATACGTGTTCTTGTAAGTGATGTTTATGTGATACTACGAAGTGTTCTTGTAAGAGATACTGTCAGTCTTGGTTGTATTGAAAAGTATGGTTTAATACTTCCCAATTGTTCTTATAAGTATATTTCCAATCTTGGTTTAGTATTTCCAAATTATTCTTGTAAGTGTATTTCCAATCTTGGTTTAGTATTTCCAAATTATTCTTGTAAGTGTATTACCAATCCTGGTTTAGTATCTCCAAATTATTCTTGTAAGTGTATTTCTAATCTTGGTTTAATATTTCCAAATTATTCTTGTAAGTGTATTACCAATCTTGGTTTAGTATTTCCAAATTGTTCTTGTAAGTGTATTACCAATCTTGGTTTAGTATTTCCAAATTGTTCTTGTAAGTGTATTACCAATCTTGGTTTAGTATTTCCAAATTGTTCTTGGAAGTGTATTTCTAATCTTACACTATCACCTGAGTCTAATTATTAACTACGTTTTTTCTGTAACTAAATATTAACTAGTTATAATCCTAATTATAAGCTGGCGTTTCAGGGAACTCCTGAGAAAGACTGTTTTCTGTGTTCGTTGTAGTCGAGATTCGATCCTTTCTCTACCAGATGGAAAGTTGCGGCATACTTCAATAGATAGGGAGGGTAGGAAGACTCGGTCGAGTGAATAACGCCCTTCAAAAAGCGAAGGATAGAATCCCGGCCACAAGTAACACAGTCCCTCTCAAGTCTTTCAGAAAACGAAACATCAAACATAGGGTAAAACTAATTAATAATTAGTATTTAGGTATAAAAATTAGTGACTAATTATTAATTATACTAAGTTAATAGTGTAGGCTAATAACCATAACATAGTTAAATTCTAGATTGTTCTACTTATGTAATATTGTAAGGATATTTCTTTGTTCATCAAAGTTGCAAGATCAATCATTTCAGATGCACATTTAAAGAACATTCAAGAATGAACTTCAGAATTGTGACAAAACACGATTCTACACGTCTGAGTGTTAGAATCTAAATGTTTTGTGGTGAAATGATTGTTGTTGTTGTGCAATAGAGACTTTACTGTGTTGTTGTGAAGTAATAAAACGTGGCTGTTCACTATTAACTTTACTAAGTTATTTGTGAATTGATTATTCTTAGCTGTGTACTAACAAATTTCTGTATTGTTATGATGTAATTCTATAAATTTTATTTAGTGTATGAGAATCATATTTTTTTTTTACTTATTCTTTTCAAGATAATACTTACATTTTTGTTTGAAAACTAACTTATATCCTGGAAACTATTAGCAAGTGTCTGGATGTAAGTAAAATATTGTTAACAAGTAACTGGATGTTAGTACGATATTGTTTACAAGTGTCTGGATGTTAAGTAAGATATTGTTAACAAGTAACTGGATGTAAGTAAAATATTGTTAACAAGTAACTGGATGTTAGTACGATATTGTTTACAAGTGTCTGGATGTAAGTAAGATATTGTTAACAAGTAACTGGATGTAAGTAAGATACCGTTAAAAAGTGTCTGGATGTAAGTAAGATATTGTTAACAAGTACCTGGATATTAGTAGGATATTGTTAACAAGTGTCTGGATGTAAGTAAGATATTGTTAACAAGTACCTGGATATTAGTAGGATATTGTTAACAAGTGTCTGGATGTAAGTAAGATATTGTTAAAAAGTAACTGGATGTAAGTAAGATATTGTTAACAAGTGTATGGATGCTAGTAGGATATTGTTAACAAGTACCTGGATATTAGTAGGATATTGTTAACAAGTAACAGGATGTAAGTAAGATATTGTTAACAAGTAACTGGATGTAAGTAAAATATTGTTAAAAAGTGTCTGGATGTATGTAAGATATTGTTAACAAGTAACTGGATGTTAGTATGATATTGTTTACAAGTGTCTGGATATAAGTAAGATATTGTTAACAATTAACTGGACGTAAGTAAGATATTGTTAACAAGTGTATGGATGCTAGTAGGATATTATTAACAAGTAACTGGATGTAAGTAAGATATTGTTAACAAGTAACTGGATATTAGTAGGATATTGTAAACAAGTGTATGGATGCTAATAGGATATTTTTAACAATGTATGGATGCTAGTAGGATATTGTTAACAAGTAACTGGATGTAAGTAATATATTGTTAACAAGTAACTGGATGTAAGTAAAATATTGTTAACAACCACATGGATGTAAGTAGGATATTGTTAACAAGTTACTGGATGTAAGTAGGATATTGTTAACAAGCGTCTGGATGTAAGTAGGATATTGTTAACAAGTAACTGGATGTAAGTAGGATATTGTTAACAAGTAACTGGATGTAAGTAGGATATTGTAAACAAGTAACTGGATGTTAGTAGGATATTGTTAACAAGTAACTGGATGTAAGTAGGATATTGTTAACAAGTAACTGGATGTAAGTAGGATATTGTTAACAAGCGTCTGGATGTAAGTAGGATATTGTTAACAAGTGTCTGGATGTAAGTAGGATATTGTTAACAAGTAACTGGATGTAAGTAGGATATTGTTAACAAGTGTCTGGATGTAAGTAAGATATTGTTAACAAGTAACTGGATGTTAGTAGGATATTGTTAACAAGTAACTGGATGTAAGTAGGATATTGTTTACAAGTGTCTGGATGTAAGTAGGATATTGTTAACAAGTGTCTGGATGTAAGTAGGATATTGTTAACAAGTAACTGGATGTAAGTAGGATATTGTTAACAAGTAACTGGATGTTAGTAGAATGTTGTTAACAAGTAACTGGATGTTAGTAGGATATTGTTAACAAGTAACTGGATGTAAGTAGGATATTGTAAACAAGTGTCTGGATGTTAGTAGGATATTGTTAACAAGTAACTGGATGTTAGTAGGATATTGTTTTACAAGTGTCTGGATGTAAGTAAGATATTGTTAACAAGTAACTGGATGTTAGTAGGATATTGTTAACAAGTAACTGGATGTTAGTAGGATATTGTTTACAAGTGTCTGGATGTAAGTAAGATATTGTTAACAAGTAACTGGATGTAAGTAGGATATTGTTAACAAGTAACTGGATGTAAGTAAGATGTTGTTAACAAGTGTATGGATGCTAGTAGGATATTGTTAACAAGTAACTGGATGTAAGTAAGATGTTGTTAACAAGTGTATGGATGCTAGTAGGATATTGTTAACAAGTAACTGGATGTAAGTAAGATATTGTTAACAAGTGTATGGATGC